CAGTCTCCTGACAGGTTTCTGACTGAGACTCACATGCAAAAATTGTGCAATGAGAATTGAATATCTACCAAATGCAGCATTTCAAATTAACGAGGAGATGATGTGCTATTCAGTATTAACCCTGAGGTAATTCATAATCCATTTGGAAAAATACAAATATAGTTCCTTACCTAATACCAAAATATTGATTAAAAGAGTTCATGTAGCCGGGCTCGGTGGCTCAGCCTGTAATCCTGAGCTTTGGGAGGCTGAGGTGAGTGAATTGCCTGAGCCCGCGGGTTCGAGACCCGCCTGGGCAGTGAGACCTCATCTCTACAATAAATCAAAAAATCAGCCAGACGTGGTAGCGCACGCCTGTAATTCTGGCTACTTGGAAGGCTGAGGCGTAAGGATTGCCGGAGCCCAGCAGGTCGAGGCTGCGGTGACTGGGAGCGGCCACCGCACTCCAGTCTGGGCGACAGAGTAAGACTCCAACTAAATAACTAACTAACTAAATAAATAAATAAATAAAAGAGTAGATGTAAAAAGTTATAAAGATTTTTTTGAAAGACTGAAAGGCTGGCCTGGATTAAAAAAAAAATGTGATACATATACACAATGAAATATTAGGCAGCCATAAAGAAAGGCAAACATATGGACTTTGCAGCAACTTGGATGGATTTAGAGTCGATCATACTCAGTGATCTATCACAGAAACAAAGAACAGAGTACTATATGTTCTTGCTCATAAGTGGACCTTGAACAATTATCGTACTATAAGAAAGGGATTGGCAGTAGTGGGAAACTGTCAGGGGAGGGGAGTGGGCTTGGCAGTTGAGGGAAACTGCTAAGGGAGGGAGGGGCACACCTCACCAACAAGAGTACCTACATAATCAACATTTATATACCTAACCCTGAATTGTACCCCACATCTTTACAATAAAAAAAAAGTTTTAAAAAAAGAAAGATTGAAAGGATAAATTTTTTAAAGTTGTAAAATAATTTCAAGAAAGTATGGTAGAGTGTTTTTGTTGTTGTTGTTGTTATTTTTTTTAGTCAAGAGAAGCCTTCTTAATAAGCAATACAGAAAATGCAGAAGCCATAAGGAAAATGTTGATAAACTGAATACAAAACACAAGCTACCATATATAAAGTTAAAAAATCAACAGCTGACATGGAGACAACTTATGCAAGATACAGAATAAAATTATTAGTATCCAAAATACAGAAAAATATGATATACATAAATATATGCAACATGTATCCATCATTTAAAATATATTTAAAGGAGTCGGGCTCGGTGGCTCAGCCTGTAATCCCGCGCCTTTGGGAGGCTGAGGTGAATGGATTGCCCAAGCCCGCGGGTTCAAGACCCGCCTGGGCAGGCAAGACCTCATCTCTACAATAAAATCAAAACATTAGCCGGGCGTGGTAGCGCGTGCCTGTAATTCCGGCTACTCAGAAGGCTGAGACGGAAGGATCACCGGAGCCCAGCAGGCTGAGGCTGTGGTGGCCGGGAGCGGCCCCTGCACTCCAGTCTGGGCGACAGAGTGAGACTCCGACTCAAAAAATATATATGTATATATTTAAAGGGATTATATTTTTCTATGTTTACATATATTTACATCTAAATGTACAGAGAAAAGTAGAAATGAAAATATATGTCCAGACAAAAACTTGTACATGAATTAGCATGGCAGCATTATTCATTATAGACAAAAGTTGCAAACAACCAAATGTCCATCAACTGATGAATGGGTAAACAAAATGGGGTGTATACATACAATGGAGTATTATTGTCATAAAAAGGAATGAAATTCTGATACATGCTGCAATATGGACGAACCTTGAAAACATTACACAGGTGGAAGAAGCCAGGCGCAAAAGATCATATTTTGTATAATTTCATTTATGTGAACTATCCAGAATAGGTATTCCATATAGACAAGAAAGCAGATTAGTGACTTCCAGAGGTTGAACGGAGGAGGAAAGGAGGAATGATTGCTGAATGTGAAAAAGTCATCCCCAAACTGTTGAGCAAGATCTTTCAGCTGACTGACCACCTTAGTAGTTTGGGCTGGCACTTCAATTTGAAAGTTTACATTTTTCTGAATAGTTATTTTAAGAGACAGCCAGAATTTCTTGCACTTGTGGCTCACATGCAATTTAAAATTTGACAACAGAATTCTCATTCGCTGCTGGTGGAAATGTAAAATGGAACAGCCACTTTGAAGACAGTTTGGCAGTTTCTTACAAAACTACGCATATTCTTAACATATGATCCAGCAATTGCTTTCCTCTGTATTTATCCAAAGGAGTTGAAATACTTATGTCCACATAAAAACCTGCACATGGATGTTTATAGCAGCTTTAGTCATAACTGCCAAAACGTAGACGCGACCAAGATGTCCTTCAGTATATAAACTGTGGTAGGTCCCAAATATGGAATATTATACAGCACAAAAAATAAATGAACTATCAAGCCATGAAAGGACATGGAGTGAAAGAAGTCAATATGAAAAGGCTACATACTACATTATTTCAACTATATGACATTCTATAAAAGGCAAAACTATGATGACTGTAAAAGACTAGTGGTTGCCAGGGGTTAACAGGAAGAGAGGGCTGAATAAGCAGAACACAGAGTGTTTATAGGGCAGTAAAACTATTCTGTATAGTACAACAGTAGTGGATACACGCCATGATACATTTGACAAAAACACAGAAGGCACAACACCAAGAATGAACACTAATGTAAACTATGGACTTTGTATAATGTAAACTATGGACTTTGTATAATGACTTTGTACCCTGGTGCCAGATGTTGATAGTGGGGGAGGTTGTGCGTATGTCAGGACAGAGGCTATATAATGGGAACTCTGTACTTTCAGCTCAATTTTGCTGTGAAACTAAAACTGATCTAAAAATTAAATGTTATTTTGTAAAATGGTTAGATGGTAAATTTTATGTTTAATTTACCACAATTTAAAATAAAAATTAAACAACAAAGATAATTAAAAATAGATGGGTAAAATATCAAAGTTCCAAATAGATAAACCCATGAATTTTAATATAGCATATTACAAAATTTCACTGATATGTTTTAGTTTTAGAGTCTACATTGCAACTAACCTTTACCATTTGTCAAGTTTTGGTGTAGTATTCAAATAATACCCTCAACTATCTTTAAAGAGTATTCAAATATCCCTCCTTCTTTTAACTACACAAGCTGGTTATTCTTCATCTACTTCAAATGAAACATAAAGCCACAGATTGAATGCAGAAGCAGATATTAGAATCTAGACGTTTTCAATAAAAAAGATTTATAAAAACATCCCTCTTACCATTTTTTTATTTTGAAAAATATATTTATTTTTATTTTTAAAATGCGTCACTTATGTAAACATAAAAAGCATATTACTATTATTCTTAAAGAATGCACATTCTTAAATTTCTATTTTAATTCCAAATATGATAAACATTGACAGATATAAATCCACATAAACAAAAGCTCTGAGAATGTCAATAATTGTAATATATAAAGAAGTTCTTAATCCAGAAAGTTTGACAGCCACTGCATTAGAATAGTTTTATGAGCCGGGCTCGGTGGCCCAGCCTGTAATCCCGTGCCTTTGGGAGGCTGAGGTGAGTGGATTGCCTGAGCCCACGGGTTCGTGACCCGCCTGGGCAATTTGGCGAGACCTCATCTCTACAATAAATCAAAAAATCAGCCGGGCGTGGTAGCGCATGCCTGTAATTCCGGCTACTTGGAAGGCTGAGGCGGAAGGATGGCCAGAGCCCAGCAGGTCGAGGCTGCGGTGGCCAGGAGTGGCCACTGCACTCCAGTCTGGGCGACTGAGTGAGTCTCCAACTCAAAAAACAAAAAACAAAACAAAACAAAAAAAGAATAGTTTTATGTGTTGTGAATTGAATGTATCCCCACAAACTTCGTATGTGGAATCTCCATCTCCCAATTTGACAGTATGTGGCTTCTTGGCTACCCCAGCCTTTGGGAGGTAATTAGTGTATGAGGTCATAGGGTGGGGCCCTCAAGATGGGATTAACGCCCTTACAAAATGAGACACCAGATAATTTGTTCCTGCTTTTTTGCTCCCTGCACACAAAGAAGAGGTCCTGTGAGTACTCAGGGAGAAGGCAGCTGTTTACAAGCCAGAAGAGAACTCACACCAAATTCAACCATGATGACATCCTGGTCTCCACCTTCCAACCTCCAGAGCTATGAGAAATGTCTGTTGTTGAAACCATGCAGTCTGTGGTATTTTGTTGTGGCAGTCGGAGCTGACTAATATGGTACGTAATAGCACAAAGACTGGAAACAATCCAAAAGTTCACTAATAAGAGAACTGCTAAAGAAATTGTGGTTATCCCCAACATAGAATACTATGGAGATAGAGGAAAAAAGACAGTGTGTGCTAGCTCAGAATGGCAAGATCCAGAATACTGTGTAAAAAGAGAAGGAAAATAAGAACATATCAAATATTTTACTTGCATGTCAGTCTCCCCTACTATATTGTAAATTTTCGAGAACTCTTTCTACTCTTCTTCCTATCCAGCCATTAGACTCCTCTGCAGCACAGCAGACACCTTGTATGTGTTAGTGCTGCAAGATAAATTCTTATTGTACACATAACTAATATGTTAGAACAAATAATATTTGAGGCAAGTCAGGTTTTTCGAGTTTTAGCGGAGTTCAAGAAATTTCTGAGGTTTTAATTTTTGAGAGTTTCAATAGAGTGCAAGAAGTTTTGAGAGTTGTGTAAAGTGCACGGGAGGCCTACAAGAAAGGTTGCCCCCAAATTCAGATTCAGAGAGTAAGAGGTTTAAGTTTATGACAATTCTATTCCTCTCTGATGATTGGATTCTCTTTCCTGACGGAGCACCCAAACCTCCTGGAAAAAGCCCCGGGTCCAGGGTGACGGGGCAAAATGAACCACGCGGGGAGCGCTCCGGGCTTTTGTGAAGAACCCCCCGACCTGAGTCCAGGGAGCCGGCGGGCTTACCGGGTCCCGACGCCAGCAGGCCACAGAGCCCAGCAAGCAGTATCCTTAGGCGGAGCATGGCGTGGCTTCTCGGATCCCGGAGCTGCGACTCGGCGGGCGGCCGTTGGGCCGGCTACGGTGAGGCCAGCCCCAAGGACACGCGGGCGCCGTCCTGC